ATTGGGCTATAAATATAATAAATAAATAGCACTGTTCCTCCAGTCTATAACTGGATTGAGACAAGAGTGGCCCAGTTACTACTTATGTTGGTCTACTACCTAGCCTTCTGTGTAATAGGATCACAGGTGCTTTCATTAAAAAAAAGTCTCTCCCCAAAATGAAACACAACAGAACACAACACTCTACAGCATTATTGGGGTACCTCTACAAGTGAAAAAACCTATCAATCACTACTTGTTTTCCCACACGCATACTGAAGATAGAATACAGCAGTCCAGTAGAATGACCTCATTTTCTACCTCATCTGCAACAAAAATTGTGGGAGCTTATCCTCAGCAGGTTGAGGACGACAAACGGAAATTCATTCATTTTTACCTTAGGGGGCATTTAATAAGGTGAGCATAGACTCCAGGCTTGACGAAGTGTGAAAAGAGAGTTTGTTGCTTCCTGAAAGTTGCCCCAGACATGCGGAAGCTACACTCTAGGAGGAATGCTCTAGGAGGCCAGACCCTCTCATTAGATAGGTCTACCAGTTGGAATGGTCCAAAGAGGAATGGTCAAAGCCAATACATCAGACTTAGATGCATCCATCCTTCTCCTGAGTAATGGTCACAGTAGAAGAGAATGTGCATCGTCAATGGTAATGGAGGCAGAGAAATTTCTGAAGGACAGCTACTGGGCAGCAGTACTAATTGGCCACACTGTTGAAGGATTTTTCAGGAACAATGGCAGTGATGCTCATACTCAAAAGATCAAAGCAGAAGGGAAATGTGGAAACTGATACACAAGGAGACAAAAGGAAAGTCTGACACTGCAGAACACATAGAATTTGAACATGGGATGTAAGATATATGAATCCAGGAAAACTGGAAACCATAAACCAGGAACCAGATTTGTTAAACACTGCATTACTTGCCATGGGCATGTGGACTGGAATGGGACATTTTCAGTCAGTCTTTTACTCTGCAAATTACAAACTCAGAAGAATTAATATTGAGGCAAAATGTAGCACAGGCAGTAAGGGGCTATTATGCCAAGTTCAACTAAATCATATCCGTCAGAATTCTTGAAAAACCTATCAACACAACCATTATGCAAGTCTATGCTCCAACAATAGATGCTGGAAAAGAAAATCAAAACTTACGAAGGTATCCAAGAGGAAACTGATAACAAGCCAAAAATATGCTAATAGGTGACTGGAATGCCAAAGGAGGAAACAAATTAGAAACAAATATTGTGGGAGAATTTGGCCTGGAGTCAAAAATGAAGCAGATACAAATACCTCATGGATGTTATTCCCTTAGTTTTCCAGATACTAGCTGCCAAAAGTGTGTTGAACTTTTGCTGTTGGCCTCCAATTCCAAATCTGCCTAGCACTTGGCACAACAGTTAGCTTTCTTGGCTGTAACTGTTTTTTAATCTTTGCCTAAGTTTAAGCAAAGTTTGTGTCAACTCCCTGCTCTGAAAAATCATATACCTTTCTCATTTGCTTTCTCATTTGAGAAATTTGAGTGTCCTGGACACTCAACATACAGCATCAAATCATGGAACTTTTATATTATGTAATACTTTATGTAATATCCCAGAACAGATGGACATTTTGTCCACAAATAATTAACACTGCCCACCTTATTAGTAAAATATATGGAGGGATAAAGAAATCTGGAGTCACTTGATCCTAGGCTCTGGTTGAGAATATTAATCCCAGCAATTCTGTCTGCTTTATTTACTTTCTTTTCACTAGTAATACAGCAATACATCTCATAAAGCTCATTCTGGAGTTCCTACCACTCTACCGATTTATTTATTTATTTATTTATTTATTTATTAAAACATTTCTATGCCGCCCCATTCGCTGAAGCCTCCGGGTGGCTCACAACATAAAATTAAAGTACAAGAAATAATAATATAAAATAAGTCGCCCTGGCCAGATAAAATAAGCAAATAATATTAACAATTAAAATGACGCTTAAATAAAAAGGTCTTCACCTGGTGCCGAAAAACAAATAACGACGGCGCCAGGTGGACCTCTCTGGGGAGCGCATTCCATAGATTGGGCGCCACTGCAGAGAAAGCCCTCCTCCGAGTACCTACCCTCCTAATTTCTTTCATGGAGGGTTCCCGGAGAAGGGCCTCTCCCGCAGATCTCAAGGGGCGGGCCGGCGTATATGGATGTAAGCGCTCCTTCAGGTAACCAGGACCCAAGCCGTTTAGGGCTTTATAGGTCATCACCAACACGTTGAATTTGGCCTGGACTTCAATGGGAAGCCAGTGAAGCTGACGGAGGACTGGAGTCATGTGAACATAACGCCCAGTCCCTGTCAGCAGCCTGGCAGCTCTATTTTGAACCAACTGAAGTATCTGGACAGTCTTCAAGGGTAGCCCCACGTAAAGCACGTTACAGAAGTCAAGGCGCGAAGTCACCAGCGCGTGTGTCACTGTCGCCAGGCAGTCATACTCCAGGTAGGGGCACAGCTGATGAATCAGCCGAAGCTGAAGGAAAGTACTCCTCGCCACTGCTGTCACCTAAGCTTCCAGGCTGCGGACCTTGTCCCTAAGAGGGAATGCAACCCCATTCAGGACTAGGTTCAATTCACCCTCTCCGAAGCCCGATCCGCCAACCAACAGGACCTCCGTCTTGTCTGGATTGAGCTTCAGTTTATTGGCCCTCATCCAGCCCATTACCTCGGCCAGGCACCGGTTCAGTACAGCCACTGCCTCACCTGGATTAGTTGAAAACGAGAGGTAGAGCTGGGTATCATCAGCGTACTGATGATTCCACAGCCCACACCTCCTGATGACCTCTCCCAGTGGTTTCATGTAGATGTTAAACAGCAAAGGGGACAAAATGGAGCCCTGTGGTACTCCATGGCATAGCTGCCATGGTGTAGAGCCATAGTCCCCCAGCACCACCTTCTGGCCATTGAGATAGGAGCGGAACCACTGCAAAGCAATGCCTCCAACCCCCAATCCCACTAGCCTATCCAGAAGGATACCATGGTCAATGGTATCGAAAGCTGCTGAGAGGTCCAGGAGAACCAACAGGGACTCACTCCCCCTGTCCTTCTCCCTGCACAGGTCATCGTACAGGGCGACCAAGGCAGATTCAGTACCGTACCCGGGTCTGAAGCCGGACTGAAATGGGTCCAGATAATCAGTTTCATCCAAGAGAGCTTGGAGTTGTCCCGCCACCACCCGCTCTGACACCTTGCCCAGAAACGGGATGTTGGCCACTGGTCTATAATTAGTGGCCATCTCTGGATCCAGTGACGCCTTCTTCAGGACCGGTCGGACTACCGCCTCCTTTAAAGGGGCAGGCACCCGACCCTCCCTCAGAGAAGCGTTAACCACTTCCAAGATCCAGATACCAATCCCGTGCTTGGCGTTATTTATTAACCAAGACAGGCAAGGGTCCAATAGGCAAGTGGTGGGATGTACTCGTCCAAGCACCTTGTCCGCATCATCGGGCCGCAATAACTGAAATTCATCCAATAATTCTGGATCAGACGGCAGCATTGGTGTCTCCCCAGAAACCTCTGATTCACTAGTGGTGTCTAGCTCGTGACGAATCTGAGCGATTTTCTCCATGAAATGCATGGCAAAGTCGTCACAGCGGGCCTTTGAGGGTGGAACCAGATCTTTCTTAGGACTTGGACGAACCAGGCCTTGCACCACTCGAAAAAGCTCCGCTGGACGGCATTTTGAGGAGGCAATGGAAATGGAAAAAACCCTCTTTTTTGCCGCCCTCACCGCCAGAGCATAGGCCCGATAATGGACTCTCAAGTGTGTTTGGTCAGATTCATCCCGTGATTTCCTCCACCTACGCTCTAGCCATCTCCCAACCTGCTTCATCACCCGCAATTCAATTTTGCAAGTGTTGATCCAATTCTAGTGTTAAGATCACTCACCACAGTTATGATGCCATTCGGAAATTTATATTTTAATTGCTCCACCATCTTTCCAAAGGACAGCACACATCTGGAGATAATACTGAGAATTTACTGGGGGAATATAGATGTTTACCACAATTACAATTGAGCATGGAGTACTTGGCTTGATTACTACACAATTGAAGGTGGTGGGGAATCAACATTTATAACCCTTTATCCTTCCCAACCTAAGTCTTTATTTAATGAAGTTTACAAAGCCACTGATTGCTCTTCCCTTAATCTTTGATTTTTCTGACTGGGTTAAACCAGGTTGTATACCTTACCAGCAGACACATTTCCCCAGTTGTAAGCTATGCTTCTTAAAGGACAACCAGATCAAAGTTAAACAGGGATTTGATCAAGTCATTACCATGATGGCAAGCCTTCCAGCTAGTTATATTCCAAGAAAAGGATTTTAACTAGGAAATTATGTGATAATGTTTATGACTGTTGGGTAATTGTTATGGTTTCTTAGCATCCTCTATTTGTGTTGAGATGGGAAGAGCTGGTGGAATAGCCTGGACCAACAGAGACACAAATAAATGGGTCCCACATCAAAACAAAACAAAACAAAAGAAGACAAAACCAAAAGCTGTTTTCTTCCCGGAAGGAAAAAATAATATGAAACTGATGTTTTATCAAGAGTACATCTTGAGAAGCCAAGAGTGTAGAAGACAATATTGCTAGGGAAAGCTGAGGGCAGAAGAAGAGGAGAAATACCAAATATGAGATGGATCCATTCCATAAAGAACGTCGCAGCCTTGAGTTTACAGAAGCTGAGCAAAGCTGTGAAAGGTAGGGCATTCTGGAGGACATTCATTCATTCATTCTCCACAGGTCAGTGTCAACTTAACAGTACATAGCAGCAGCAGCAACAACACTTCTGAGTATGCATGCATAGAGTTGTATGATAACTCATACTTTGGTCCCCTTGAAATCGGTGGGACTCAAGTTAATCCTGGATAACATTTCCGTTGCTGTCAGTGGGGTTAGAGCAAAGCCAATGCAGTATGGATCTGTTCAATGTCATCATGAAAGAAAATCAGAGCCTGAGATTCAGAATGACTTACCCATGAAGTTGAGATAACCCTCTCCTCCAAGTGCATGAGTAATGAGGCGAATCATTTTATGAAGCTGCATGCCTCGATCAATAATTGGAGTAAGAGGTGAAAGAACACTCATATAATTATACATCTCTGCATCCATCAGACGAAATGCCAAGGTCTTATCACCAACAAGTGCCTATGTTGATAAATACATGAGGAGGTGGGGAAAGAAATTTTCTAAATGTTATTGCATCTTAGGATCTTTGTATCTTAGGATACAAATCAATGACATGTTCTAGATAAGGTAAAGAGACTACCTTAAAGTTAATATGAAGGACATAAAATATGATAACACCTTTAAAGATTTCAGGGCAGATAAATAAAATTTCTCAAATAGTTTTTTTTAAGTTCTTGAGTTAAAAAAATAGCTTTAATTTATGAGAAACTGGCAATTGGCATTAAACTTTATTTTCTATGTTATTGTGGCAGATTCAGTAATTCTCCGAAGCATAACAATAAACTAAAACACATATCTAAGTCGTGCCAAAAAGATACCTGCCTTTTTATACATTCATACATACTTCTTAGGTGAACAAACTGTTTACTTTATTAGTTGAACACATGTCATGAGAGAGCAAGTGGTGCAATAGCTAAGAGGCTGGACTAGGACTGGAGAGACACAACTATCCAGAGTGAAGTGGCTGCAGAACTGCAAAGGCAAGGAGATTCCTGTCTCCGGCAGAGGAAAATGGTCAACGTATGTTATTATACCTGGTCATGGCTCTCTGCATATGCAATATATTTCTCTCCATATCTCCTGTTTGTTAGCGTGAAGACTATATTTCCCATATCCCAGTCTTCATCCTTAAGTTCCTTAATTATCTGAAAAATAAAAAGGAATTATTCAAAATTGCTTGTGTTATTAGTATACGTGTCATTTTTTCCTTCCAATCTTTTCCCTCTCAATTGTAAAAATAAACACTGAAATTCTGAGACTTTCAGAAGATCTGAAAGGGTAAAAGTATGCTTTTGATGTCCCAAATGGGATTCCTGTCTCAATTTCAGAATAACACACAATTTTGGAAAGCCTGTATTTTATTTTTCTGCCAAAACCACTGCCAATGTCTGATTAATAACTATGCATGACAGTGTTATTTAAATTGATTTTCTCTATACTTATGTAAAAACATTGAGGGCTGTTTGCCATCATTTTAACTGCTGACTAAATATAGCAATTTCACTACTAAACCTTCCTGTTCCTTGTTATGCAATAGTGCATAACCCCCTGATTATTGTATTGGCTCTAGCTGGACCTTAAAATAAGTTATTTCTGTAGTTTTTAACTGGGTATTTTACTGTGTGGTATGCTATCTAGGAAATGCTTGGAGCAAGTTAAAAATTAATAACCAAAAACAGACTCATCTGTTATCAGACCATGTCAAAATGAAAATACATTTTTTTATTTTCACACTGCTAATCTATGTGGAGCAAATCTATGTGCAGCAAACTTTATTTGGATAATATTAAATGCCATCTACACAACCAAATCTCATTTGGTCAAAATTGTGATAAAGCACTTAACTGTTGCTAGTAATGTTTCAATCAGTATAAAATACAGGGCAGAATTCCTTTTAAACGACACACACACACATTCTAACTATCAGCAGCATTTACTGAATTCATATCAGTATTTCATTTATGACAGTCCACATAAAAGTATACCCAAAAGACTACTTATTGAAAAGTCTAGTGATCTTTCTGCATCACATGGTTTCCCACTATTCATGCTGTTCTATGGATCCTCTATAATTCTGCTTCCTACCTTCTTAAACTAGATGTACACACAGCAGCACTGGAAGGAACTAGCTTTGGAAGGTTGTGGGCACTTATGCCTGGACTAGGAATAATTCTAATTCCAGGAAATTCAGGGCTGTATTCAATGTACAAAAGAAGTGGAAGTGACAGTGTTGCTGCACTAGTGACTACATGTTCCATCAGCTGCTGAGCAAGCTCTAGAGGCTAGACCCTAGCAGAACAAAAAGTGCAAGCAACATGTGGTACAATAACGTATTAACTTGTAAACAAGTTTGTACAATGGCTTGTGCAAGTGAAAACAAAGCAGTAGATTTGACATGTGCACAAGAAAAAACATGGGTTTCTGCATGCAGTGAAAGCTTTGCACTACCAGACTGCTCATAAAAATTTGCAGAGATGTAATAATTTTAAAATCCCTAAAAACAAATTATTGCAAAATTTAAGTAATATGGTCTTTGGGTTCTAGAATAGTGAATTGTGCTCTGGAATATGGACTTTGTATTTGGCAAATATTAAGACCGCAGCTGACAACATGCTAATGATTCCACTTATCAATGCCAATTCACACAAAAAATGTGGGGGATCTACTTGCAACTGTGTAACTGACGGACCCAAACATCTGCTGAAATAATTTTCCTTTACACATATTATTTTCTATGTGTAGAAAAGCATTATACACACTCTTAGAGTAACTTAGCGTACTATTATTCTAAACAAAAACAAACAACCCTCCCACAAATTTTTAGTTTTATTTTTTATCACCAGAGTATGACATTGGCAAGCTTACAGGGAAGTAAGTCTAGCTGTCCTTAAGTCAGATTTATAAATATGCAATTAATGTGTCATAAAATCCTTGCCCTACTTCATGTGCAGAACAGATACATTTTTAATCTCCATTTTGTTAGGAATTAAGCTTTCTGGAAGGATTATCAAAATTCAGCTCACAAAACCATGATAATAAAAGCCAAGCAATCAAATATTATTGCAAAAATAATTAGTCATATGTTGCACTGAGCTTTGGTGAAACAAAGCCTAACATTATATGCAAACACCCTAGGTGACACCCTCCTATTTTTTCCAATATGTATAGGAGACCTGGGGAGCAGAAGGGTCAGTGGTGACCACAAAAATTTAATAATCCAACATGAAATGTCCAGACCCTTGAGTACTGAGACACTGATAATGCTCTAAATATTTAACTGTACAAATGGAAACATGCAAAGAGAAAAAGAAATCATATTCTGACCTGAATCCATTTATCAGGAATTGCCATAGCCAATCGATAATCAAATCCACCTCCTCCTCCTGTTACTGGAAAACAAAGGCCTGGCATTCCAGACACATCCTAGAAGAGGAGGAAGAAGAATTTGACAAAGAAACATTTACCAACACTGCCTACCAGAGTGCTTTATGGGAGAGGGAAGATGTGCAAATGGACCTACATGCATAGATGCCCAACCATAAATATAGCCCTTTGCAATCCCACTAATATTAAGAACTGGAATACACCAAATCAGTTTTCTTTAGGAAAGGGTTACCAAGGTAGCAAATGCAAATTTTCTATTACTCCTATTGTGCATGTATGTTGGAAGTAGGGGGCAGAAGCTGAGAAGGAAGCTAAAACAAAAAATGGGCATAAAATCTCCGATTTGCAAAATACATTCATCATGAGTCTGTAAGTAGCAATCACTTAAGAAGAACAGTAAGAGGAACAAATCTACTGTACATCTATGTTTGTCACTATTAATAGCTATTGAAGGTGCAATCCTATGCACGTTTAGACAAAAAAAAGTTTTACTACTTCCAGCAGCCATGTTTCATTCCAGGCTGGGTGGTATAGGTCATTTTCTGTCTAAATATGCATAGGATTGCATCCTAAGTATACTTCAGAATAGCAGGTATAGAACATGAACAATAATGAGAGATGCATTACTTCTCTAATAAGTTTTTCTCTCCTGTAGGAACAGGAGAATGAAAGAACTTATCTTCAGTTGAAGAATATTCAGAATATATATATATTTAAAGCACATTCTGTTACTTAATTTTATCAGGTCCTTACGGAACAGCACTACAAATCAATCCTACTCTAGACAATAGCATACTCCTCTCATGTGGTACTATTCATTCCACTGTCATTACATGCAAGTTCAAATTCATGCTAGCCATTTGTAATTTAGAATGATATCAATAGTTCCTCCCTCCCAATTCCTTTCCATCATGAGCATGTGGATCAATTCCACATTTTGTATAGTGGCTCCCACTAGACAGAAAAATGATGTATTGAAGTTGAAGTAGTTTTCAATTTAAGTAGAATAAATTGAAGGCACATCTTGTTTAAAAAAAATCTTAAATGAGGTAATGCAAACAGGCTCAACATTGGAAGGAATACTGATAACCATATTGTGGCTCATTGGATGATGGCCTAATTTTACTTGAAGTGAACCCCAAAATCAATACCACAATTTTAAGTTTAATACATCCCATGATTGCTTCATTTCATCATTTCTGTTTTAAATACTTGATGTCATTGAAATTTTATAGGGTTTTTTAAAACAATGAGTGGATCACATTGACTTACCATATGCAACAAGGGAAGATTGAATTCTCTTATTTCTGGAAATGACATTTTTACATCTGTAGTTGTCCAGTAACACATCGTTCTGTTTTTTAAATGACACTGAAGTAGTGTTTGGTACTCCCTATCTTGAGTGCTTAAGTGGTGACATTCTGGACTTATGAATGCTGTAACTTTTTTCTGTTGAGCCATCACCAGTATATTTATCTAAGCTGCATATTAAACACTTATACAATGCTAGGTAATAAAGGACAGAACATGTTTTCAAGAGTGTATGTGTAATGCTGTCATCAAAATAAATGTAATTGACTTGTTTTATTCTTTCACTCAAAGATGCTTTTTAGTTTAATCATTTTCTGTGGCACCAATATTTCCTCAGAAACACACATATACACACACACACCAGAGAGACTTCTCATTAACATCAGTTTAATACATAAATCATGCACACAGAACTAAATATTCCAAAGAATGCTCATGATAAATTTGAAGTAGGACAAACATTTAACAGTCTTAATTTAACATAGATTGGAATTTTCAGTGATGCATATACTAGTGCATAGTCGCTTTGGCAATATTAATTGTAAGCTTTCATCATTTTGACTTACTAGAGAAAAAGTGAAAATCATAAACAAGCTCACTTATTAAATAGGATAAAACTCAAAATTTTTCTAATGATCATAGTGCACTTAAAGTTTCATTATTTTCCTAATTTAACATCTCATTTGCTTCTAAGTTATATTACCTGCTGGAACTAGTTTCTCCATAAAATAATGCAAGAAATTAGCATGCATGATTCAAAAAAAGTTTGGGATGATGTATATTAACATTTATTAACAGCACAATTCTATGCATGCCTACTCAGAAGTAAATCCTACTGAGTTCAATGGGGCTTACTTATGGGTAAATGGATGTAAGATTGCTGCCTAATAGAAGGTCCAGTACAGCCCACATTAAGTATATATATGTCTAAGTGATTTAAATAAGAGGCATTTAAGCACATACTTAACTCTTCCAATTGAAATCAATGGGATTTAAAATTAAATGTGTCACAGGAGTGGATCATGCATATGGATAAGTGGAAATTAATGTAATTACAATTGATTACTGATTCAATTAAGACAGCTTTTCAAATAATAGCTAAAAATAACTTATTCTAAGATTACCTCTGCTATAGTTACACATTCTGGATGCAAGAGATGTATCATGTAGTTTGCCATCATTAGATATGCTACAGCATCTTCATCTACATGCATACCAAAATATTCATTGTAGTCTCCAGTGAATACCGCACCTAATAAAGACAAAATCATACAAATCACAGGCATAGAAAGTCAAAATGTGAAGTCCCAAGCTTTTTTAAGGAAACTAAAGTTAGTCTGTGGCTATATATTTGTATCATATTATGAAAGTCGGTAGTATAAAAATTGAACTTACCAATTCCATGATGGTGGTATAGCATAGAGGAAACACCATCAAATCGAAAGCCATCAAAGGCATATTCTTCTATCCACCACCTTAGATTAGATAGAAGAAACCGCAAGACTTCCCAGCTGAAATATGAATAACATATCCTGAATACTAATGTATAATTGGTCAAGTATATACAGTCTTTATTTCATTTTCTCACAGAGGAACATGAACATTGTTTCTGAGTTTCTGTTATTTCTCGATTCATCACATTATATCCTATTGTATGAATGTAAACCTGCATTTCCCAAGTCTAAGTCTATTATTGTAGTCGCTCATATCATTTCCAGTTCACCATGATAGAGGTAACATCCCAAGCTAGTAAAGAATGGCTAGCACTTTATGGGCACAATTCAAACACAGACTCAAAATATTTTTAATACTACTGAAATTGGTGAACATAAGTGTCCTTAATTCTGAATTGGAGGGTGCCCTTTGAATTGTCCATGATTACACAAAAACTCCATTTCAACATTAGACTTTCAGGCATTTTTATGAGTTTTCTAAAAATTATTAAAACTAATTCAGGACCTTTCTTAATGTAGATGGAAAACTAAAAACAAAAAAAAATCAATACTTTGGCTGCAATCCAGAACTCTCATTATATAAGTATTTAACATTTGTGCTCTTACTTTAGGCTTGCTGATTACTTTCAAAAATCTCTAATAATAAATTAACATAAAAAACTATACATTAACAGTTACAGTTCCTAACAAAGACCAATTAAGGAGTAAGATCACAAATATAGCAAATTCTATCATCCCGAGAGCATTCTGATTGTTCCGATTATGTGAAATGTCATTTAGTTAAAATTCATCTAATAAGTATTGCTCAAACACTGGTGTTTGTACAGTGGAGAACTTCCTTGATATTCACACAAGGTAAACATTCCATATGATAATATATTACACTTCTTCAAAATGGAGGAAGACAAATAACTGCAAATTCTAAATGTTAGATAGGGCTACCTAAATGCTGATTTCAAGCATACCTTATGGGGTTGTGCTCAAAGAAGGTCACTTTGGAAAACAAATATCTACAATAAAGGGCATATCACAATATAAAGTCTGTTGGACCATGCTTGTACAGTTTATCATGAGGAATGGTCCTGAGGAAACATGCTGATCTAGAGTTTGTTTTTACAAGGACTTGTTGTTACGCATCCCTATTGTTGCACATCTGAGTTCACCCAGAGTGAAATGTTGAGCCCTCATTAACACCTCTCAATCTCCACCTTACATATAACCCTCTCCTACTTCAGAACCCAGAGGTGGGGAACTGTGATAGTTTGCCTACTGGCGCTTCTCCCATTGTTACATCAACTGAATCTCTCACCTGTTGTCTCCTAGCAACCAGAATCACATCTTCAGGTAAAGCGACCTTTATATCTGACAGACTGCTCAACTCCTGGGTCTCCCACTGGCAGATCGCCACTTCTACACCCACCTGAAGTAACCCTCCTAATTCTTCAAAAAATTTCCTGGCCTTGATCTGACTCTGCAGTTTGCTGACATTCAAATTGCCTTCATTTTCGCTGTCTGAACTCCCAGTCCTATCAACGTATAAACTGATTACACACATTCTTGCACTTTTTTCCTGTGTGCATGCACACCACAGTTTAGGGAAGCAATTTGAAGTTTTCAATTCGGTAAACAACTTGTTTACCACACTAGGGCTTTGAATGGGAAATCAATTTTGTGCTTGCTGTCAGATGCATCCCCTGAGCCAATATTGGTACTCATTTCCCCTTTCCTCCATAGTCTCTGGTGCTATTTCATGCATTGTCCAGAGGGTCTCCTAACCTCCAGATACTGTAGCAGAAACGGGAAAATCAACACTCCCTGCTTCTGCCAGCAGAATTCCTCTGCTGAAATGAACAAAAGCCTTCCATTTATGGGAGACAAAGTCTGAATCCAAGCCACTGTCTGTCCAACATTAATTGCTCTGAGGGAAGAGAAATAAGTCTATTAGTCTCTAAGGCAGACTGTAATACTGGGTATGCTTATTCAGTGAAGAAAGAAATAATCTAAATTAGCAGAAAGTTGAGACACTTTTGGAATAGGTTCAAAATGTTTGGAAAAGTGTCTAGTAAGCAATATGCTACATTATTTGGGGACATACAGAATATTATTATTATTATCATTATCTTCATCATTATTATTATTCTCTTTCTGTTTGCATTTGGATGTCTACATTTTCCTTATTTGAATAAAGTTTTTCTTAAACTCTTCAGAATTTCAGAAGTAACAAGTAACTTCTTCATTGGAATGGACTGCTGACATGAGACAATAGCCAAGTTCTACTGAGCCTTGGCATCAAATGTTAACAAAATGAAGTAGTAATTAAATTATACTTTTCCAGGTATCTGCTTTTCTCAATTTGAAATCATTATTATTTGGATGACTGTTTCCAAATGTATTCAAGAAAAAGAACACATTAGGCGATAAAGCACCCACATCTTACATTCAGAAGACACTCTGGAAGATCAGGGGAAAAGATCATTTTGTGATTTCTAATATTACCTATTAGATTAAATATAATCATATTGCCAGAATTCATTGCATATTTAGGAAATAGCTTTCAGTACCAGCTAAACACATGTTGTGATACACAAGTATCCACATCCACAACACATTTAACTCAAAGGCAAATGTCTCATTGATTGTAATGTAAGTGGACTGCATGTAACAAACCTTTTAAGAACCACCATTTAAAACAAAACAGGCAAGTGAATGCTAGCCTACAGTGCCTGAGCCCCTTATCCAACACTCTGAAGTGACACTGAAAATAGGTTCTGGAACATATCCCCAGTAACTCCCTGCACAAATTAAGCCCTGCAATTCACCAGTGTATTGTAAACCAGGCAGTTACAAATTGGAAAATGTCAAATGAAAGACCCCAATAAGGGAAAAAAAATAAAGTACTAAATGGAATAGATCCTAATATTGTCAGCAGCTGAGAAATTCAGTGTCAAGCCACTGTGGCTTGTTTTGATCGTATGAACTGGGTCAATTTGTGGTCAAATATCCGTATCTTTCTGAGCTTGTAATGTATTCTACAAAACAAGTGTTTGACAACATGGGCATATTTTAAAAATTTGTGAAGAAAATGCATGCATTCCAAAATGTGCATGAACACACTATAGTCAATGGGTACATGCATCCAAACTGTGTGCATTTAAAAATGCATACAAAATTGTGTACAAAGAATGCACAGATAATCCCATATTGACTGAAAGAAATGGCAGTCCAAAATAAAGCAGAATCCTGAAAATTTTGCCAAGACTGAGAATGGCAGTTTCCTCCATCTCTATGTTCAAAAGAAGTAACTGGACAATGGAACCTCTGCTGTGGGGAAAGAGAAAGCAGGTGGGAGGTGGCAGTTGTCTCAAGAACACTGTCCAGTTGCTACTCATCTCTTCAAAATCTTTTCCCACCAATGTTACTTTGTAGAGATGTGGCATCCAAAGCTTAAAAGTATACAATCAAGACAGAAGTTATATGAGATATTACAGTACTGCCAATACTAAGTTCTTGAACTAATTGTAAAATGTGAGGTGCTCCTGGGTGAGATGAATTTATAAATTGATTTCTATTTGGTTATTTGTTAGATGGTTTAAACTAGGAAGTCGACAACTGTTTAACTGGATTGGGACCTGAGCCACTGTTTTATGGTGGTTTTAGACCTTTTTGGATAGCTAGGCAAATGCAGAAGGAGGTGCTGGCATATTTCTGTTTAATGCTGTGGCTATTGGTCAATGATGTTCCTTGGAGTTCTTTCATTTCCCATACTATTTAGCATATATGTAAATCAGCTAGGCGAAGCTGCCCAGAGTTTTCAGATTTGGTGTCACATGAATGCTCATGATACCTCTCTATTGTGCCTTTCCTTCTAAATCCAAGGGAGCTGTTAGAAGGCTAATCATTGTCTGATAATGGTAATGGATAGTTAAATAGAAACAGCTTTGTCCAGGCAAGGCAGAAACATTTCTAGCCACAGGAAAAACAAATGAGAAAACAAGGTTTCAGCCTTTGCTGGATGGGCTTACACTCTTTCAGAAGTTTCAGGTTCCTCCTCTGGGTGCATTGGATATAGCTCTGCAACTAGATGCCCATGCTTCAGTGGGGGTCAAGCATGAGCTTGTCAAGCGCAAGCTGAGGCTGGTGGAACAAGTGTAGCCATGGCTATAGATGCCACCATGGTACATATATCTTAAGTAAATCCTGTTTGAATTGCTATAACACACTCTACATGGCGCAGCCTTTCAAAAGTATTTAGAGACCTCATCTGGTTCGAAATGCTATGGAAAAACTGCTGGGACAGATTATAAGGAGCACACAATTCTCTTACGACAGCTTTACTAGCTACTGACCTGTTTCTGGACAGAGTACACAGCCCTACACTATTTGGGGCCAGGCTACATTCTCCTTCATGAATCTGCCTGGATTTTATGTTCCTTGGGATATGCTTTTCTCTCTCTTGCTATCATCGAAGGCAAATTTGATAGGAAGGAAAAAGAGGGATTATCCCCAATCTCTGGAACTCCCTGTCAAGAGAAGGCAAGGCTAGCTCCATCTTTTATGTCCTTCATTCCAGATGTGAAGTCATTTTTGTTCAGACAGGGTTATGGAGGGGACAAAGTTATCAATGGCAAGTAGTCATACTTTTCACTTTTAAACAGTCTTTAGGGATTTTAGTAGCTCAGTCGGTGATATTAAAAAAAATGAAGCAACACCAGTCACAGATTCTTTATACATACATGTTTCATAATTAACCTCCAGAACAATCCACAGTTTTGCAACAAACAAAACACAAGTTATATACAGAAATTAAGGCTTCAACTATCTCCAACATGGACCTGTTTCTGTACATTCACAGTTTAGTGACAAGCATGAGACTTATATTTCAAATAACTAGCCAATACATTACTATCATTTTATTTTATTTATTTATTTATTTATTTATTTATTTATTTATTATTAAAGTAGAGCCAGAATTAATCTTAGGTCATTCAGATAATAGCATCTTAAGAAATGTTGAATTTGAGAGGAGGGTGAAGCTCTAGCAATACCATTCTGACATC